TTGACAGCTTTCCAATATTAAAGACTTTCTGATGAGATTGGTGGTGATAAAAATAAATGTGTTTTGAATTATATGATGAAATGTGTCAACATTTGGAAAATCTGTGTGACTCAGTGAACCAATATTTTCCAAATGACCATGCATGCCATTACCAAATCATGCTTGGATAAAAGATACATTCATACTGCCATGCAGATTGATAGATTTCAATGCAACAGAGTATAAAAAGTTTCACTGATGTGCTTTCAAATTCCACACTGCAACTGATCTTTAAAAATTGGGTTTTGGTGTTATAGCAAAGAATAATATTCACAGTGACCTGAAAAGGCTATGAGAACAATCCTCCCTTTTCCAATGATATATTTGTGTGAATCTAGATATTCATCATATACTTCAATACAAACATTCTATCACTATGGATTGAATGCAGACACAGATATGAGAATCTATGTCTTCTCAGTCAGACAATAAAAAGATTTGCAAAAATTAAAAAATGGTACTCTTCTTGCTATTTTGTTCTGGAAAATAGTTATTTTTCATTAAAAAATACCAATATGTTAACATAAAATGAGCTTATTATTATTTTGAAGTGAATCATATTATTTTTCAAATTTCTAAGTTTGAATTTCGAATATGGTAAATATCAGTAGATAAAATCTACATAGCAAAAGCTCTTTGGGGCCTACTATAATTGCTAAGTGTAAAAAGGGGTTCTGAAATTTAAAAAAAGGTTGAGAACTACCAGATTATAGGATAATACCCAGACCAGAGAGCCAGACATTAGGGACTTTCCCTAGTCCTGGCCCAGACTGCCTTGGCAACCTTATTACCACTATCTCCTAAGCACTCCTAGGTCCCAGCCTAGCTGCCTACTTACTGATTTCTATACATGTCCACTACTTTGTGTACAGCATTCCTCTACTTACAACACAGGTCCTCATCTCCTTATTCATCTTTTCTGGTGACCAGTGGGTCAGAGTTATCCTCTCAGTAAAGGGCCTGGGGATAGACTGACTCATTCAGACCCAACTTCCCAGTGTGCTTATAGATAGATTCTGTGTGTATAACTTTCAAGATCTGTTTGTTTGTCTTTCTTAATTAGGATTCCTGGTGTGAGAAGGACCCAATCTTTTGTTTTATATTTCTACCATCTAAGGGTCAGTGTGCTGCCATAAACTTTATGGGATTTTGGTAAATATTAGCTGACAATTTCTAGTGATGTCTGTGAGCTTTTATGACCCAGTGCAAATTAATCAGAATATTTAGTGCCTGCTGTGAGCAGAACACTTGGCAGTTGGAGGAGGGGATTAAGGAGGTGATTCTTGTTTAAGGGCCTGAACTGTAGTTGGAGAGATAGAATTTATAGACAAGAAGCAATTAAACAAGAAATAAGATGCTACATCACCATAGGAATAACCCTATGGCTACAGGTCTTTAGGGAAGGGGAGGTGGAAGTGGGGATACATGCACACATTGGGGCCTGGATCAATCACAGAAGGCTTCTGGGAGGAGACAGGGTCTTGACAGGGGCTTGTTAAATAGGGAGGGTTTAGTTAGAGGTCAGTAAGGCCAGGAGTTGGGTCAGTGAATACACGCAAGCCAAGGCAGCATCAGACATGAGCACAGCATGCTTATGGCCTAATGAGATTGCTGACCACAGCGAAGGCGAACGCTGTGAAAGGATAAGGTTGGAAGCTGGTTGGGGGATCAGGTTGGAGGAGGAAGGAAAGGCGAAGCAGTTTTTTTTGGTGAGGGAAGTGGCCCGGTGTTTTCTGAACACAAGATAGCTAACTTGCAAAAGGAAGAATGGAGATGGGGGATCGAGGTTCATGATCCAGGACTGTGAGGTTGCTGAGCAGAGATAACCACCTTAGAGTGGCAGCTCTGTGCCTTTAAATGTAAGTGTTTCATATTACAAAGGCACAGAGAATAAGACTCCATGATAGTGCTTGTGACACAATTGGGTCTTGGCACATGTGACTGATTTAGAGTTGAAATCTTTTATTTTAGTCTTTCTTCATGTCTTATTGTCTCAGCTACTAAGCAATTGTGTGTAGTTCAAGACACAGTTCCTCAGCTCCTGTGTGTCTTGGTTTTGTTGCCTGTAAAATGAGGGTATTTATAGCACTTGTCTCATACACTTATAGGAATTAAATGAGTTAATACCTATAAGGTGTCTACATTAGAACTTGGCATATAAGACATCTTTAAAAATATTAGCTATTACTTATTTATCCAGTAATTCACATTATTATGGGAATTTAATGTTTAAATCACCCAAATGATGGGCCAAAGTATCCACAGCTATATAGAATCAAGGCCCTTAAAAAAACCAAAATAACCCTTCTCCAAAAAAAATTCTTGCTAGGGACATTGCAAACATGAGACTCACTGCAAAGATGGAAAGTCAAAATCTTCAATCCTACAAGCCTACTAGCATTTATAGTTTAGAACCCATATACCTAAGTCACAATTTGATCATGTCACTTTTCAACTAAAACACCTTTACTGGCTCCCACTGCAGAGAAGAGGGATCTGGTCTTCTTAGCAAACCCAGCCAGCCAGCCAAACATCCTCTTCCAGTAGGTTTGAGCCTCCTTCCTCCCCAAGCCTATGCCAACTTTGCCTCAACCACATGCATCCCTGCTTATTCTTAAACACACCCCACCCTGGATTTCAGTCTCTCTTGTGCCTTCATTCTTACCTTTGAAGCTCATTCTTTTTTGCCCTCTCTGGGCCCTATAAAATTAGTCTCCTATTTCTAATGGACTTTTAAGAGCAGTTCTAGTTTTGCAGAAAAATTATGCAGTAGAGTTCCCATATATTCCCTTTTCCAACAGTTTTTTTTATTTTATCTTGAATTAATGTGGTACATTTGTTTACTATTAACCAAAGTTGATGTATTAACTGAAGTACACAGTTTCATTAAGGTTCATCTTTGTGTTCCATATGTTTTGACAAATGCATAATGTCCTACATCCATCATTATAGTGTCAGAATAGTTTAATTGACCTAAAATTGCCCTGTATTCCACCTGTTCCTTCCTCCCTGTCAGTTTTTAAAAAACAGTTAAAATGCCTTCAATCTGTGAAAACTTCTAATGTTCTCTCAATTATAATTAATTCATTTGATGCTTGGATAGAACATTCCTCACACTTACAGCTGCTGTGTTCTGCAAGGTAAAGAGATATATGCATACTCCCTTCAGTAGATGGCTCTTAAGGGAGGGGCTGTACCATAGATTTGTCCTGATAATACCTAGCCCAGATAATGGTTTCTAACAGGTGCCTTGTGAATGCTGACTGCACTGAATTGGATTGTGAGCCAATATTATGATGAGATTTTTGTAGAAAAGGTCTCAAGGGGCAAGACTGTTAGATCTGGAATTCTGAAAGGGACATGCATAACTTGTGAATTTCATATATGCTTCATGGAAGGGTATGTTCTTGGAAGGACACCATCTTGTATCCTTTCAGATTTTGGCTAAGAAGCAGCCACAGGTGAAGTGGCCCAGGTCAGCGCTATATTACCGGTAGGCCACAAGGCAATTTCCCAACCTGTCTCCAAAAACAAAGTAAAAAAAAGGGACAAGAGCTAGATTGTTTTCATTCTTCCAGACCAGACACTCCTTTTCGGAAGGAAGACTCCTGGAGAGTCTTATGTCTGGGCCTCACTCACCAATTGAGGATGCCCACTGTGTCTTCTTTAGGTGCTCTAAGAAGCATCTTCCCATAAACACTTATTTTCTTAATTCCCGCTGAGCTTTTTGCTTTAAAGACGCTGTTCTCAAACGTTCTAAAGCACTGTAGGAACAAACAGATCTGAACAAAGGCAAATAAATCGAATCCTGTGAAGTAACAAAGCAGACGCCCTTCTAAAACAGCCAGCACAAAGCTAAATGAAAAATATCAGTCATCCAGTAGATAGATACAGTATTTCCCCCTCTAGACAGGAGCTGCCGTTTGCAAACCTCCTCTATCCCAGTTAAGGGGAGCGAAGGTATAAAATAAACGACTCAGCTCCAGGACAGAGTCAACAGTTTTAGAAGCACCGTCTTTTTCTTTTGAGCCACACTAGCGGTTTGAAAGACCTTGGCTTTTACTTTTCTGTACCTGCCACCAAACACATGTGGAAGTGATGGTGAGAGGGAAAGAGCCAGCCAACCTCCATCATCCTCTCGCCGCCCCGGGAGCCCACTGCGGCGCCAGGCCGGGCGGAAGGCAGGGGGCGAGCGGGTGGGGAAAAGGGGGCACTCTGGAAACGCAGTTTAGTGCTGAGGGCAGTTACCTGGGGAGTTAGCGATAGATGGTCTCCCTGCAACCACAAAGCCGGAGGGGAAAACAAATGGGGAAGAGTGTGCCTGTCTGGCTCCTGAGCAATAAAGGATCCAGGCAGAGCCCCGCGAAGGTGCGCTTAGGACCCGCACGGATTACCGCCCGCCTGCACCTGTGCTCCCGGGGGCGGAGCCTCCTGCAGGTGTGCGCAGAGGGCAGATGAACTGGCGAGCCTAGGCCGGCCCCGGGCGTCCAGACACCCCAGCCCCGAAATGCAGGGGGAGGAGCGGTTAATCCGCACCGTGCCTCTGTGGCCGCCGCAGCCACCCCGGGCGCCGCTGGCCTCTTTCGGGGGAAGGGAGAGAGCGCCCGCTGCGGCGCCGAGGGGGTTAAGCAGGCGGCCCGCGGCTGAAGCGCGCTTAACCCTCTAGCGCCCCCGGGTCAGGCGAGCCAGGCCGGGGTGGCGGAACCCGGAGTCCCACACGGAGACCACCCTGAGCGCGTGGGCCGTGCGGTGCCCGGCCGACGACAGCTGGGGCGCGGCGCGGCCCGTGGGAGGCTCGGGGCGGGCGCGGGGAGGGCGGGGGGACGGCGGCGGCGGCGGGCGCGCAGCGTCGCCAGGGCGAAGCCGGCGTGCGGCGCGGCGCGGCGGGCGCGGAGCGAGCGAGCGAGTGAGCGGGCGGGCGGGCGAGCGCCTCCGTTCCCGGATGTGAGCTCCGACTGCCCGCGGTCCCGAGCCAGCGGCGGCGCGGGCGGCGGCGGCGGCGGCGGCGGCGGCGGGCACCCGGCACCGCGGCGGGCGGGCGGACGGGCGGCATGGGGGGCGCTCCGAGCGGCCCCAGCGGCCGGGCCGGCATCACCGCGGCGTCCCTCCGCTAGAGGAGGGGGTCCAAGCCAATTCGCCTTTGCAGCCAAAAAAAAAAAAAAATTACATGTATATATTATTAAGATAATATATACATCTGATTTTATTTTTTTTAAAAAAGTTTATTTTGCTCCATTTTTGAAAAAGGGAGCGTGGGTGGCAGGCGGTTTTTATAAATTATCCTTGTTTTCTGTTATTTGTCCCTGTCCTTCCCCACCCCCTGCTGAAGCGAAAATAAGGGCAGGGACCGCGGCTCCTACCTATCCATAACCCCCTTACCCATTCCTCCCCCGCCCTAACGCCCAGTACAGTGCCCTGCACACAGTAGGCGCTCAATAAATGTTCGTGGATGATGATGATGATGATGATGAAAAAAATGCAGCATCAACGGCAGCAGCAAGCGGACCACGCGAACGGTGAGCAGCCACAGCTTGGGCACCCGCTGCCGAATCTAATCCTTGTCATGGTCCTCCTCTTCCCACCCCCTCTTCCTCCCCCCGCCCCCATCTCCGAAGCGCCGGGTGGGTTGAGGGGGTTGGAGAGGATGCTTCTAGCTTGGTGTCATCCACATAGAAAGGGGAGATGCGCGACAGGCACTCCGTGCTCCCCTTCAGGCCTTGAATGTCAGAGTTAATTCTGCATTTGTGGGGTGGGGGCGGCCATTGAGTATGTGGAGTACTGTGCAGCCAGAGGGGCAGCAAGTCGAGGTGATTTGGGTTCAGTGTCCTCGGGCTCAACTTTCCTCCGACGGCCCCCCCCTCCCCACCCCGGAGCGATAGAAGGGGAGGTGGCTGTTAGTCCTCAGCTGGAGCCCCCTTTCTAGCCTCTTCTTGCCTTCCCCTCCTCCCCTGCCCCCTGGTTGACTAAGAAGAAGGTCCTTGGTGGCATCCGGAAAATTCTAGGATTGCAGGGTTTCACCCTTTGCGCCTGTGGTGAAGCTCACACCCCTCCTCTCACTGGGGAGGCCCGGTCTTGGAATCTGGGGGGAAAGAGGGTCGGGTGAAGCGTATATTCCGGCTTCCAGCGCCTCCAGTGCACACGTCGGTAACCTAGCAATGCCCGGAGAGTCGCTGCCGCTGTGGGGCTCCTCTCCTCAGCCCGGGTCCGGGCACCACGTGCAGTTTCCATGCCGGCGGGGGCTGGGTCAAGGGAGGCTGGAGTAGCTTCTGGCCAAGCCCCCTCTTTGGAGATCGCTGGCGCCCCCCAACCCCGCTAGGCTTGAAACCTTTCCGGGTGAGCGCTCCTCAAGGGAGAAGCTTGGCAAAACTCATCCCTGGCTCCGATTGTCTGCTGCCGGCCAGTCTTTGCTCGCTTCGCAAGCTTGCTGGGCAGGCGACCTGTGCTTGCTATGACTCTTAGCAATACTTGGTTTTGCAAAAGCCCAAGAGGTAGAGGGATCTCTACCTCTCTGTTATCTCTCTCATTTTTGACTTCTGCTTCAGCAGGAGACGTGGCCCAATGTGAGCAAGTGCCTGGGAGACCTGCCTAGGGATGGCCTGACCTAAAGTGAGGGGGTTTTGACGCACAAAAGCGCGCCCCCCCCCAACCCGGATTTCTTTCTTGAGTATACCTGTGTACCAACCAACACTGAGGTGATTCTTGCTTAGGCCTCGAGGGCCCCTGGCTTGACGCAGCCTGTCGATCCTAGGTGTATGGGTGCAGGCTGACTGGATGCTGGCTTGGTTGATGCTGCTGCAATTTAAAATGCAAAAAAGCCCTAAAGATGTTTTCTGTTTTCCGAAGCTTGTAGAGGAAATGAGTCCCAAGCATCATGAATTTTCATATGCAGGAAGTGTCAGTGCATAATCTAGATATTTGTTATGGGACTTTTGGTATTGCTTGGTGCCAGTGGAGGATTTTTTTTTTCCATGTTGAAAAAAATGCATTTATAGTTGTGCAAACATGTTGGAGTAACACCCTAAAAATGATTAAGACTATTGAATTATTGGCACTGCCTTTTTTTGGTGCTGGTGATAATTATTTTAGAGAAAAGCTGTTGTATATATCTGTTAAGTCATAAGAGAGTCACAAATTTTCAAAGTCAAAAAAGAAATTGAATAAAGGTGGGAATGACCTCAGTTTGTTAGAAGAAATACACTGAAAGACTCCTTTTGGAGACGTGGATATGGAAGAGTATTAACTTGTTTGGTGTGGTGCTGTCATGATCTGTGTGATTAACTTGTGGAGCAGAGCTCCTTGGATTGCCTTGCTGTTCTGCCTGACCATACCCCTGCTTTTGAAAAACAGAACATGTGGTTCAAAATGGAAATATTAGTAAAAATTCTCTGTTACTGATGGGAAACAACCTTTTTTTTTTCCCTACACAACTGAATTTCATGGTTTCTTCTTTTTAAAAAATCATTCTTTTTTCTCCTTCTCCCTAGAGGCAAACTATGCAAGAGGCACCAGACTTCCTCTTTCTGGTGAAGGACCAGCTTCTCAGCCGAACAGCTCCAAGCAAACTGTCCTGTCTTGGCAAGCTGCAATCGATGCTGCTAGACAGGCCAAGGCTGCCCAAACTATGAACACCTCCGCACCCACACCTGTAGGATCTCTCTCCCAAAGAAAACGTCAGCAATATGCCAAGAGCAAAAAACAGGGTAACTCGTCCAACAGCCGACCTGCCCGTGCCCTTTTCTGTTTATCACTCAATAACCCCATCAGAAGAGCCTGCATTAGTATAGTGGAATGGAAGTATCCTTTTTTTTTTTTTTTTTTTGTGGGAAGTCTTTCTCATTTTCTCTTTTATCATGTGTTCGTTAAAAAGATTTGCTTTCTGAAATGACAGATGTAAGCAAGGGAAGAAACTATATATAAGGGATTTCATGGTAGATAACTTCCAATCTCTTAGGTTGCAGAGGGGCAGCTTTGTGGATATATTTAGCTGTGTGTGTGTCTGTGGGGGTGTGTGTGGTGTATGTAGTGGTGTGGGGAGGAAGTGAAGCCTAAAACTTCAAAGTGATAGCTAAAATATGAAAGTAACATTTGGACATTGGATACTAGATGGTCAGTTTAAAATCTGTTATTATTTTTGGGCAGTGATAGGCATTAAACCTGTTGGAAATGAGGTATGCTGATTTGAAAAGTAAAAATGATTGAGACTGTTCTAAGACTGTACTGAATAGATGTGACCTTTAGTGGAATCTTCTCATTCTGATGTTTGAAATTTGCTTCTGCAACTATAATTAATGCTTAGGTTGTTTCCAACTCTGATAATTGGTGATTCCAGTTGTTGAGGTAGTTGCAAATATGAACATTTGCTTTATGGGGGGGGAGTATTTTTTATTTATTTGTTTATTTTTTGGTTGGTCAATGCTATGGATTTCTGGAATTTCCTTTTGACAACTCCAAAAAAACCATTTGAAATGTGAGCGTGAGAAAGCCTGTGCAGGGAGAGGTTTGTGTGTGCCTCTTCTTCCTGAGCCCTTGTGAGTTATAGAACAGCCCTTGCAGTGAAGGAATTTGCAGTTGCTGCCTTTATAAAAAATTCTGTCTATGTCCTTGGACTGAAGTTACATTTCTGGGTGTCTCCTTTGTATTTTTAAAACTGAACTCTAAGTGCCCCAGGATAGTTGTCATGTCCCAGATTTTGGAAAACTGTTGTGTTTCTGCCTGATTATCCTCTTCCCCAAATCCGGTGACTAGACTCCAGTTATTGCCATCCTTAAGAAAAGGTTGAGTTGATTTTTTTTTTTCATATTTGCAAAATGTTAACCTGATTTGAGCAAATGGTTTTCTGATTAATCAGATGATTCCTTGGTCTGGATAAAATAAAGCATTTCCTTTCCCCAGAAAGGTATTTGGGGCTGTCAGGGGCCTCAGAGCAGTTCTTAACTATAGGATAGAGTATGAATATAGAGCTTCTCCCACTAGGCTGTAAGGGTGTTTGTAGCCAGTTAGAAAGTAGAGCTGAAGTTCCTTGCCCCCAAATAATTTAAGTAGACAGCTATTTGCATGCCCTCTGTCTTAACTGGCTTTTTTCTCCACTTATGGCCAAGAGTTAAAATAAGGCAATTGCCTAGAAAGGTTTTGGAGAGAGTAGCTGAACATCAGGGTAGGATGTGACGGATTTTCATGTGTCTTTCTTTTAAGAACAGATGTGTCTTCTCTAAAGTGAACTACGGTGTTTCTCCAATAGTTGGGGTTGTGTGTGTGCATTTTCTCTTTGAGTTCTTCTCTACTCTGAGGACAATAATCATGCCAGGAGGAAGCTGGGTAAATTAGGGTGTGCCTCAGTGGTCTCGCTGGAGTCACGGGGGGTAAGAGAGTTCAGCCCTCATGGGCAGCAGCTGCACTTGCCAGAAAGATGTCCTCCTCCCTAGTCTGGCTTGATGTGGCTCTGAGTAAGCAGAGACTTCTCGGTGGGGTCATTAATTTTATGTGGGGTGAGGTAGAAAGTATGAGGCTGTTTCTCTTTGTGCACAGTAATTTGTACATAGCAATTTATGTGTACAGAGAGTGAATTCCTGGATCAGGTTGCTGGCTCCCTTTCTGGACTTGCCAGACACATGTGTACAGGAATTAGGGGATGTGGTTGCCAGTTTAAGAAGAAGCCTGATTACAAGTGGGTCAGTTTTTAGAAAAAAGTAGATATTAAGTGATATATCATCTATTTGTTTTTTCAAAAGACGGTTCCCTTCCATTTCAGGGAGCAGGTTATAGAAAGCCTCCCCAAGCAGCTGTGTCAGGCCCAGTCAGCACTGGGAGAGGAGAGTCTAGTTTGTTTTTACAAAGAGGCAAAAGGCAGTGTCCTGGACCCTGAGGAGTAAGAGATACTTCCTTTATCAGAAGGAATTGCTAGGATCAGACCTGCCAATTTCTTGTGGTGGAGAGATGGTATTCTCCAGTGTCTGGAAATTAGAACAAAATCAAGAAAAAACAATGAACCTTATATTTAGCCTTCCTAATCTCTCAGATTTGCAGGTTTATCATGTAGGTATTGGGAAATCACAAAGGAAGAATGGCGGAGTGGGGAAGGGGAAAGACTTAAGTATATTTCAATAGAGAATAACTTTGGGGAAATTGACTTTTTAAATTTCAGTGGGGACTTGTTAAGAGGAGAAATAAAAAGAGAATTCTGACGTCTTTTTAAGGCAGGCTGTCTTAAAGTTGGATCCCTGGGTAAAAGATTTTGTAACACTAGATGAATTAAGAGAATCAATATGAATTAAAGCTAACTGGCTTAAAAAATAAACCCATCAAAGTTATCCAGGGGATAATGTTATTTCTGTCCTTATTCCAATGAGTTATCAAAGCTCTTCAAAGGAGCTGAGGTTTTATGAAACCCAAGGCATCCCAAGAGAGGTACTGGGTATTCGTTTCTTGCATCAGTTTTAGATTTCCCAGAAGGATATCAGGATGAATGGAGAAGAACCTGTTCATATCCTTGAATCTTTAGTACCTTGAGGGATTTAGTTAAGCCATGGCCTTGCCTCTTGTGGGTGACTGTACAAGAGCGCTATTGCAAAATCAAGCCCAGGAATTATAGATTAGTTTAGTGCTCATAAAACCTCATGTTTGGAAAGGCTGAAAAGTAACAGAAGAAAAGTAGTCGTTTTGGCAGATGTCAAATTTTCTATTGCCAGTTTTGACAGTATCTCCTCATAACACTGAATGTTTAAGCAAGTATTTGTTGAAGGATGACCTCAAAGTGATTCTTCCAGACAGCCCTCCGAGATTTAGGACTCTGAAAGTGTCTGGTGCTGACTTCTTATGGCTTTTTGATTTAATTTCTTTATAAATTGAACACAGCAACAGCACATTATAAACTGATCTACAGTTTAGCTCTAATCTAAAACAGTTAAAGCTATTGATTACTCTTGTAGAGAAAGCAGAGGAGGAAGCTGCAACTTGGCTTGCCTATCACAGTGTCTGAGGTATTGGAACATGCCATGAGAGAGTCACAGAGCATGGAGAAAGTCCTAGTGGCTTTGTCTGCCTCATTCCAGATAGGATATTTAGACTGACCCAGCCAGGCACAGCCCCTGCAAAAGTAGCTCTAACACATGGAAGGAAGGATCTGTGGAAGAGATTTACTCCATGATGTCTTTTTTTTTCTTTCTATCTTTTCTTTTTTGGTGCTTGGAATTGAACTCAGGGCCTCACACATGCTAGGCAAGTGCTCTCTAACTGAGCTACATCCTAGCCCAAGCTACTTGTATTTAGTAAGGTTGCTTTTTAATTTACAAGAAGCAGAAACCTGGTTCACACACTGCCCTAATTGGATGTTCAGCACTTTTAGGTTTTAATATACGACATGCAGCATAAGAATGAGTGTCATATCACCCTTCTAACAGAGGAAAAGGACAGGGAGAGGTCATTTGATAGAAGGACCTACTATGAGATGACCAGTGATTATTACTTCTGCTGAAAAACTAGTAGTCTCAATAGTCAGTTGAAAAGTAAACTGTGTATTTCATTTTCATTTGAAAAGCAATCAGATGTGGGGTGATTGAGAGTGTGATAAGAGGGGGGTGGTTTATATTTGTATAATGTATATATGCCTTAACAAAAAACTTCAGACCATTTGACATATTTATATTATTGGCTATTTTTGCCAATTGTGTGGCCTTAGCTATCTACATCCCATTCCCTGAAGATGATTCTAACTCAACAAATCATAACTTGGTAAGTATCCTCAGAGTTCCTGCTTGTCCTGATGTATGGTTATCACATGCGTCTGTGCTCAAACTGGCAGGTGGCTTTGTGGGTGGTCGAAGTTTACAGTTGTGCGTGTAATGTTTCCTACAGCCTTACAACAATGTTTATTTTTTAAAAAAATTTTATCTGCATTCTCACATTTATACTGAATTGAAGTGTTTAAAGTCATGAATCTTGTATAAATAGATGTGAAACTTTTTAATGGAAGAGATTTATAACAGATTTTAAAATAACTTTTTACATAGAGTTTTGCTGTTTACCACTCTTTTCCTGCTAGTATTAATTTTTAAAAAATCCAGTGTTATTTAAGAATGGTGGGTTCTTTGGTTAATTTTTCTGGTAAGTAAAGAATTAAAACAGATTTTTGTACACAAACTATGAACTTTTATAGAGGTAGAACATGACAAAACTAATTACATACTTTGGAGAATAAAATAGTAGAGTGTTGGAGTTCCTACTCCAAGTTCTATGAAATGCCTTAAGATAAAATGAGTCTGTGATTAAATACACCAGCATACTTATACATACTTTATTGTTCTCTTAAAGACTTATAGTGTACATTAGTGAGTAAAAGCTCTGGGAAGTTTTAAAAAACAGGTTCCATTTTGTTTAACTCAGCTAGTCCCTAAAAGTAATTGGTTTTGGATTCTTTAAGCTTTTTTGGGGGGAAGAAGACTAATATCATGGAACCAGTGTTCCATGGAACTTCCTTTGGGAAAAGTTGATAGAGTTTTTTTTTTTTTTTTTTAAATTAAAGGCACTAAAGGGCACTGAACTGAGACTAGGAGCTTGGCCCACTCAGTTGTCAACTAGTTGTATTTTGGGACATTTCTCATACCCATTCTGCATTGCCATTCACCCACATGACAGTTAAGAGGATTGGCTAAGATCACTAGGATTTTTTTTTTTCTATCTCTGACATTCTGTAGTCTTTCTTTGATGATTCAGAAGCCATTTCAGGATTGTTCTGGTGCTGTAGCACCCTACTTGCAAGGGTCAGTTCTTTATAACTGGAGGCCTTGCAGAATGGTAGATGATGAGAGAACCAATGCTGGATAACAGAAAACTCTGTTCTTCTGCTTTCTCCTCTTTTAGCTGGTTCCATTTGGTTTTAATTTCTCACGTTGAAGCTGTTTTTTAGCAGGGCTGGATGTTCTTAACTGAGCAGTGTTATAAAGGCAAACACAGTAAACTCTCCCCAGTCATGGAGAGTTCTGCTGGCTTCTGAAGATAGTGAAACTGTGCCCTTGTGAATTTGGCTTTTGTACTTTATATACAGGATTTCATATTACATTTTAAGTATTGTGCCTATTTCAGGTGTAACATGATGTCTATTTGTAGTTGGGTTTGTTAGTTTGCTTTCTAGATTCACAAAAAATTTTGGATATTGATGCTGAAAATATGACTGCGAATGGGAATTAGACACCTATAAACTGTTAATATATGTTTATACAACGCTCAAGATTATTTGTATAATTTTGGGTATTTTAAGTGGCTTTTGAGTTGGTTGTAGACATGTGATATTAGAATATTATTTTAAAGGAAAGGCAGAAGTAGTGAAAAGCCTCCCATCAATGGAGATAGATCATTGTAGTTGAGACCACAGATGGTGTTAGCTTTGTTACCAAATTTAACAACATGGATGGTGACCTAGTTTGTTGCTTTTTGTAGCTTAAGAGAACATGATTAAACAAACAAAATAAATACCTTTTAGAAAGGCAGATTAATTTAGATCAATGGAATAATTAATGTAGCTGAATGTGTAAGCCAATTAATATTCTGATTCCCCTGCCCCAGGGAAATTCAGAGCACCAATAGAAGCACTATCAGACTATTTGGATTCCTCAGCTAAGAAGTGAGAAAATAAAATAAAGGAAACAATAGAAAAATCTCTCTTCTAACTCCCTGCAGCCCCTCCCAGTGGATCCTTTCTTGGTAATTCTTAATCACTGGATTTGTGCTTGGGAGAGGTGGGCAGTGTTTTAGTTTGGTAGGCCTTTCTAAAAGCCAATTTGTATTCCTTTTACCTCTTTCCTGAGTATTCTGAAACTCATGGCATTAAAGTCCCTATCTTGCTTTCACTTGGTCACATGCCAGATGAGTTTATGCACTGCCTGGCTCTTTAAAAATTTCTGTTCCCACTGTGGGAAGGAGGATCTTTGTGGATTTGCCCCTGACTCTAAGCAAGGTCCCATGCCATGACCATTCTTTCACCAGGGAGCCAGTTCTTTTTTTATTTTTTTATACATTTGACCCAATTTGTACCAAAGTGATTGCTCTATTTTTGGGATCAGTTTAGAGGCAGCTGAACGAAGCTTATTTTTCATCTGTAGTAAATACCTTTCATTTAATGTGAATGACAAAACAAAGGGCAGAGGCTGACATGGTTTGCAAAGCTTTGTGTATCAGGTAGCTGGTGGTTTTCTTTGCCTGATAGCTCAGATGTGTATGACAGGCACTTAGAATGAGATTCAGAGCCCGCTCTATGGCCAATGTTTCTGCCTGTTCAGGTCGTTTGTAGTGAAATTAATGCTTTTGTTGGATTAAGGAATGTGGCTATCCCCCTGGATTACAATGTGTGTTTGGTCTGGGCTAGGTGTAATGAAGCCACCTTTGGGGATTTGGAGACTACCTTGGGGGCAGTAAGTTTTCCCAGAGTTAGATTTATTTATTTATTTTTTTAAATATAAACAAGCTAAGTTTCTATGCAGCTTTCATTTGTGGACTTGCAGGACTAGTGGAGGCGAAGCCATGGAAACAGTGCAGCTCGCGCTCTGTTCCCACAATGATAGCCCTCCTAGTTCAGTCAGTAGCAGTGTTTCCTCACTTCTCCTTGCAGAGAGCATGTATCATTTATTTTATTTTCTTGTTAGCAAAGAGGAGGGGAGCTCTTCTGTATCAGGTGTCAGAGTTATACTTCCCAGTGATGAAAAACGCTTCACTTCATGTCCCACTCTTAGTTTCTCCTAAGCAAACTGGTGTCGTTGAATAGTTTTTAGTCTGTGCAGCCTGTTCCTGGTATTATCCCTCCCCAGATTGCCTCAGATTAGAAATGTCCAAAATGGGGATCTCCATCTGCCAATTCAGAGCTTCCTTGGTATCTGTTGATAACTGTACCCACCTCTGAGCCAGCGGAGCAGCCGGAGGACAAAGCCTCTCTGTGGCTTAGCTTCTCCATGCCTTTGACTAGCAAAGGCCCTGACTCACACCAGGTGCTCAGTACATGCATGGTAAACTGAACACAAAGTTTTACCAACTCTTGGACCCATTTACTACCCCTTTTCTTATCCTGCTGTTGAGGCCCACATGTTTGTATTTTTAGCTTGTTAACATTTTGTCTCTGCAAAAAATCCTATCCATCTTCCCCTTCCTCTCCATTCACAGAGTCAAATGACTTGGCTAGAGTGACCCTGGGGCTACCTACTGCCCCTGAGGAAAAGCCAGACCCCAAAAGGAAGTGCAGCTTGGTGTGGCTTAACCTGTTTTGGTTTATATTCTGCTCCTCTTTTCCATAGTTTCCCCTTCCACCTTTGTCCACCAAAAGTTACTAAATAGCCTTCTTCTACTTGTCCACCTCCTGATTTTTTTGTACCCTCTGTGTGAAATGCCTCTTCCTCCCTAATACCTTTTCTTCATAAATCACTGTCCTTATACATGCTTAAGAATAATACTGTATGTGTCTTCCATGAGGCCTTTTCTGAACCAAATCTGAATGAACAATCTTATCTGGACCTATCTCATAGCACCTTGCATATAACACACTTTTATATTTTTTTAATCATGTGCACATTTTTGTCATATCAAGCATCCTCAGAACATAATTCACAGTGAACCAGTTCTGAATCCTTGACTGCCTACCATAGTTGAACATAGAAGATATTTGGCAAATAAGTGTCAGTGACTACAAAGTGAACATGTCTTTAAGGAGAGGCCCACCCCTTTCTTTCCTTTGAGCCACGTTTAGGATTTTCTTGGGTGGCAGGTCCCTCTGGTACTCCTTGTAAGTCCTTGGCTGGAAGTAGGTGGAAGTTACAAGTGTTTCTTCTTGAGAAGCTTAGGGTCTGTGACTCTTGTGCACCTCTGGCTTGAAAGAACCCCTGAGAACTGGGCTTCAGAGGCAAGAGGTCTTATCCATGTTGGGCTCTGGTTCCAGAACTCACAGTAGCTGAAAGTTGTAGAGAGCTTCTCTGGGAAGGTGGGCTGGGTTGTGGACACTCATCAGTGGAACTGGGTGCATTACAGTGGCCAGGAATGCTATGGCACAGTCTACTGTGATTACTTTCTCTCTGCCATGGCTGAGAGTCTTGCATACCATGTTAACTGGGCTTAAAAAGTAAGTTCATTGGATCTGCCTGGTCATATAATTTAGCCTCTTGCAGTTTTGCATGGAGTAGGGTGAACTATAATACAGTACCTGAAACATGGTATTGTAAACTGGCTCATTGGGCTTAGCCCACAGGCTAGGTGTTAGTTCTGTACTTTATGTATACTGTGTCTTTGTTCTGTTATTTCTGTTTCAATTGCACTTTCTTATTTCTGCATGTTTAGGTTGTAGGTATTCTTCAAGGGCAGCTCAATAGTTGCTCTTTTGTCCAGCCTTCTCTGATTCTTAATCATTCCCTGCCTCCCACCTCCACCTGCCCATGCATACTTGCTTTCTCACTGGACTCCCATAAGCATAGTGAACTCTCCTATTTATAGTTATCACCCTCTTTCCACCTTGTCCTATAACTATTTTGGGAAGTGCTTGAGTATGGTAGTTCTGTACCTGGGCTTTGGGGTCTGATAGCCTGCTGTTTTGGCTGATTAGTTGAATGACTTTGGATGAAATTAGAATGTGAGTTCTTAGAGGCTGAGACTAGAGTCTGACTTAGGCCTGTAGCTCTGTGAACTCAATTCTTCACCAACCACACAGTAGGCACATCAAGAAATGTCAAATGAGTGAAAAAATAAAATTAATGACCGTA